TAGCCAGATGTTTTTAGTGTCCCCAAGTAAACATTTCAGAAAGGGGGGCTCCAATCCTGTATAACAAAAGCCTAATATGCAAATTGACCCAACGGCAGAAAGACCAGTCGCTATGACACGCACTGACCACCAGGGGGCAGGTGCTCAACATAGGAGCTGCCCCCAACTGGCAGGTCTCAGGCTGGCCAAGGCAGGTGCCAGGTGGGATCCCTTGATCGCCCCACAGATTGGTCCGGATCGCTGGCCAGGCCTAGGGATCCTAACTGTGCATGAATTTTGTGCACCCGGCCTCTAGTTCTCTTATAAAGCCCTCTTCTTTCCAAAATAAAGCTCTCTTGCATCTTTTCAAAACTGCCTTAGAACTACACTCATTCCTTTGGAAAAGCACATCTATTCTTAGGGCTCTATTGGATTGTCGTCTTTGTATTGTTTTCATATATTCTACCAAGAGCATGCATTCTTTTGGTCAGAAAATAATGTTACTAAACAGCAGTAATTAAGAGATAGCACTGAAAACCCAAACCCAAGTTGTATGGCTCTGAATCTCAAGATCCTGTCACTGCGCTTCAGTCCCATATTTGAGGTTTTTTTTTTCTCCCTCTTGAATCCAACTGGTTACCATGCCCTGGGGATGTTATATCTGAAAAGATTCTAAATGCTGGAGTGGGGAAAAGTGGCTTAGGACCCAGCTAAGATGCACTCTGCCAAAGAGAATGTTGGTTTGTCTTTAGCACCTTTCTTGACTGCTTTTCAACCCTTCTCTCCCCTCAGCGTTTGTCACATTCACCATCCACCAGGTCCCTCTCACTCTAGAGATAAGAGTGGCTGCAGGGTCCTTCCAGGACTTTCTTTCCATGGCAACAGCTTTATACTGCTCTCCCCTTCTTCCCTCCCAAGTTACCCCTCACCAGCCCCTGTTCCAGAGCCAGTGCCAAACATCCTTGCCCATGTGTTACTGGGTTAATGCAGGTAATGTCTGCAGCTTAAAATAGGGTCCTAACCAAAAAGAAGGAACCAAATGAAAGAACCTAATGGTCAGGTTCTGAGTCTCAAGGGAGCTGGTAGGAGAAGCAAAGAAGCCTGGTGGCATCCATTGACCCAACTACATAGTCTACCTGGTACAAGATCACCATTTTTGGAGTTAGACTGGTTTCATATCCACCCACAAGCTGCACATCCCTGAGCAAGTCACTCAGTCTCTCTGTGCCTTAGTTTTTCTGGTCTATAAAATGGGGCCCTGAAAGCCAGTATAAGTGTTAAATATAAATAGTTAACTCAGTCTCAACTACACTCTGCATGCTTAATTAATATAAAAGAATAAGTACAAATCCAAAACATCACTATTATTTTACACTCAGTACTAGCCCGCTGGGACTGAACTCTGGCTGACGAAGACTATCCTTACAGCTTTTCATCTTCTTTGATATTAACCATGTCTTGCACCCTAGTTTCTCTTACTCTGTAACCCCAACCCCCCCCCCCCCTCGTGAATTTCTCACTGTTATCCCAAGGAAACCAAGGAACCAGACTCCATTGTGGTCAGAAAGAAGCCTGCCCTGCAGATGGCCCCATCACCCCTCTCCCCTATTTTACACGGAAAGATCAGTTTATCTTCTTGGCATAGTCACAGGCCCCAGATCAGGAATGGGGGGCGTGCGTGCTCACCAGCACAGTCCTTCACAGAATTCCCTCCTGCACGTAAAATCAGATGCCTCTACTATAAAAAAACAAAACAAAACAAAACAAAAAAAAAAAACTGGGAGCCACCATAAAGCTATGCATAACCAGAATGCTTCATTTCAATGGTTTCACAGAAAGAAAGCGTATTTGACTTCTGAGTAGAGAACCTGGAAGTGGTGGCTGCTCCTGCGGCTTTTCAACAGTTGAAGCCAATGCTTGGACATTGCCAAAGCGTGTCTTTTTTTTCCTGGAGAACTGAGTTACAAAATACTGGTTTCTATTAGGGTGTGTCTAGCACTTTCTGTGCCGCCAAGCCTGCCATTTTTATACACTGCACACTAAATTTTCCATGGACAGCCTCAAATTTATTCCCAGGCAGTAATGTTTAGGAAACCCAATATGAACGGGAAGATTGTTCTAAGGCAGCCTCAGAATTTGTGCCATGCAGTAGCCTAAAAGGAGTATTTTTGATGTATAAAAAAAAAATGTGTATTTTTGGCATGCCTTAATATTTGTGGGGCAAAGGGTAGTCACTCTTTTGATGTTTTCTTGGATAGGGTTGCTAGGGGAAACTTAAAAGAAAAAAATTCTTCTCTCTTTTTTATTTCTATACTTGTACAAAATATAGCCCAAACACCCACCTACACAGGCATTTTACATAAAGCGTTGGAAGCCAAATGACTGAAAAATACAACAAAATTATGTATATAGTGTCTGTTTTTTTTCTCTAGAGATTTACATGTGAATTTAAGCGGGAGCCAAAGGTAACTTTGGAGGAAAATAACCAGTTAGAGAAAGTGCTAATGGGAAGTGTGACTATAATTTGGTTTTATTGACAAATGAAAAAGCAGGTGCCATATTTTTAAAGAGAAATATAACAGGAAATAGAGCTTTATGTTTACATACTCATAAACATTCTCTCACCACCTCTAGAAACTTACATGTTGGCTACAACCACCAGCACAGCACCCGGTTTTATGTTTTGAGGAAGACAGCCTTCTTCTTCCAGGTGGCCTCTCAGGGGGACCCCACCCTCAAGGCCCATCCTTCCATGAAGCCTTTCCACCAGAACCACAGACACCATGCCCCATGCTCCAAATCATACTCTAGTTATTGCTGATGCCGCCGGCCTTGCAGAGCCCAAACACTCCACAAGCTGCTGGGAATGCTGCCTTAAAACGGCCCTCAGCAGAAGTATGATAAAAGCCTAATATGCAAATTGTTCAAACATGTGCTGACCACCAAGGGGCAGTGTGGAACATGGCAGGCATCTGAGATGCTGTTCTGGCAGCAGGTGGCAGTGCAGTATTGCCAGCCCTGATGGGCCCCCAACCGGAGCGGGACCTCGGTGGGATGGTGGAGCAGGTGAGGGGGCAGTGCCAGGCCACGGTGGGGTGCCAGGTGGGGCTTCAGGGCTGGCTGCGAGCTTGGGGGAGAGAGCTGGGGCCTGATCCCTGCTGACCACCCTGAGGGACCCCACCCATGCACGAATTCGTGCACCAGGCCTCTAGTTATATATAAAGGCCTGGCCCGTCACCCCAACTCAGAACAATTCGAAGAGCTATTCCAGCTCCAGAGCATGGTGCTTTGTTAGGTCTGCATTACAATCAAGTGTCCCTCTATTTCTCTTTTCTTCCCAGGTATTGATCCCAAGAACAGTCTCAGATAAACCTACTGCATCTTAACCTGCATCTCAGAGCCTGCTTCCTGGGGCACCAACCTACAACGTCTACTTATCCACCTGTACATCTACCTACCCATCCAGCTAGCACTGTGTTTAGGGCACCTGAATAGGGTTGGTGAGAGGTGAAAAAGACCCAGACCTTGGCTTTAGATTAGTTCAAAGCAAGAGATGAGACGTATACAGAAATAACCGTGAAGCACACAGTAGAAAGTGGCTGGTGTCAAGCAAGAACATAAACAGAGATGAGGCTGAGGTGTAATCGCAGGCAAAGAGATCAGGAGTCGTCATGCACTGGCTTAGCTTGTGGTAATCAGCATATGTGTCCTCTCCTCCCGCCTGATCTCAAGTCCTGTGGACAGGATGGGCTGTGTCCTTATCTCTCTTGGCTCCCCGTTACTTTCCAACACAGTGTCCTAGACAGTGCGAGGAGTCTTAAAGCAATGAAGCAAAACCAAACATGGAAGGAAGCGTTGGCAGTTCCGCTTCCTTGGACAGGTTTCTGGCTGTTTATCTGGCCTCTTAGTGCAGAGTTCTCAGGAGGCTCGTCAGGATCCATTTATTTATTATGTCCATAAAAATCTCGGGAGCATGAAAGCACAAGACAAAGTCCTGATTCTCAAAGTAGCAACAGCCCACTGTGTGAACAAGGCAGAGGCCCCTGAGTATGTCCACAAACGGGAATGAAACATGGGACTGGGACTAACAGCCAAGCGGTACGTCATCCCCAGGAGGTCCCTGCCCTCAGCTGGTCCGTCCATTAATCGTCCTCTCTCAGTGACAAAGGTTACTGTACAGCCTCCTCCAGGAACCTAACAATGAGAATCAACGAACTCCAGAACCTCACCAAGAATGAATGCACTGGCATGATTTACTGTCTACAGGTGGAAAGTATCTTTAAGGCAGACGTCACGAAGTTCCTGATGGAAGGAGCGGCTGGGAGTGCATCTCCTGCATTTCCCCGCCCTCACCCCTGTCAACACGGCAGTCTCCTTTCACTGCTTTTGTACAACCTGTCGCCAACTTCAGTTTGTTCCTCTGAAATGGCATTTGCATCCTGACTCTCTGCCTCGCCTTAGCGCTCAGCACGGCCACCCCCTCTGATATTGTGCCCACACCCTGGGAGCTGAGGCTCAAACCCGGGTCAGTCAAATGTGGCTTCTGCAAACCCAGCTCCCCGGTGGTCGCATCTCTGCTCAATAGTAAGCCCAGAGGGAGTCTCTCTTCACCATCAGGACCAAGTTACTAAGACCCTCTTATAAGCGGCCCTTCCTCCACTCCTCTAACTTTATCCCCAGTACTCCCTCGCATATTGCCTCCATTCCACTCTCCTCCCTGTTTGTGTGTGCCTTTGCTTCGGTGGGGTCTGACTTTGGAAACACCTTCCCTCCTTCTGGCCACCAATCGGTCCTACGCACTCCTTGCTACTTTGCTCACACGGACCAAGCTTGGGACCTAGGGGATGAAATGTTAGGAGCCTGCTGTTTTCCACTTCCTTTATTGTCTTCCAGTTCTACTCCACATCTGCACTCCACAGCACGGAAATGCTTGTCTGCAGTACCTACCCGGCAGCAAGGATGCCTCGTCAGCTTGGTTGCCCTGGACCAGCTAGCTGTCTGCCTTCAGCTGGGTAGACTACCCTGGTCTTACAAGCCAGAAAGGGAAAAAGCTGACATAGCTAATGTTGACTCGCTTGTTGCATCTTTGGACAGACTCTCAATCACTGCGGAGTTAACAGACCCAGCTCTAGGATTTCAAGGGACAGACTGCCAAGTTGGGTCTCTGGAATGAATCCAGTGTTCCATAAACTCTGCTTCTCTCCTAATCATAGAAAGAACCATAAAACGAGAGAAGGGCAGAGGCGCTGCAGACAGCAGAACGACACAGAGCATCATCCTGTGCTTCCTGAAAAACGGAAAATGCAGATTGAGACAGATCTCACCCCCCTTGGCCCTCCTATACATAGTGGCGCTAGAGGAGAGATCTGCTGGCGCTGAGGAGATCTTTGGAAAAGTCTCTTGAAAGGGGTTGAGAGTAAGTGGTCCTTGGAGACGTCCTCACTCCTCTGCCAATTCGTGATGGTGAGATGGGCAAAAATGGAAGAGAGATCAGTGAGTACCTCCCGTGCCGCCTGCTACCTTGAAGGGAAAATGTGTGTGTGTGTATGTGTGTGTGTGTATGTATGTATGTATGTTTGTGTGTGTATGTATGTATGTGTATGTGTATGTGTATATGTGTGTGTGTATGTGTGTGTGTGTGTGTGTGTGTGTGTGTGTATGGGTAGGAGGGGGGTAAGGAAGATGCACCCTCTTCTTCTATTTGAAGTGGCATGGAAGTGGCTAATCTCCAGGTTCCCAGGTGTATTGTGCAAGGGGTTCTCTGCTTTTTACAACTTTTCCTAGAGCTGGAGGAAAGGGTGGTGAAAGCAGATTTAAAATCTCCATCTTTGTGCCTTGTGCTGGAAGATGATGAGGGTGAAAAGAGATAAATTAAAAATAATCTACCCCCCCCCCAAATAATCTACCCAAAACAAACAAGCAAACGCATACACACACACACACACACACACACACACACGCCCCACCTTGGAGAGAGAAAAAAAAAATCTCAGACAGTTGCATTAATGTGATAATAATGACAACAATATTAATTGGCTTACAAATGCTTATGGGTTACATTTTACAAACCATGGGGGCGCATTCTTTAGCAGTGTTCTTATGCCACATAATCCAAGCAGGTGGTAATCAAAATAGCAGCTACCATGTATTGAATGACTATCAGGAATACTTTTCTTTTTTTTTTTTAAATATATATTTTATTGATTTTTTACAGAGAGGAAGGGAGAGAGCTAGAGAGCTAGAAACGTCGATGAGAGAGAAACATCGACCAGCTGCCTCTTGCACACCCCCTACTGGGGATGTGCCCGCAGCCAACGTACATGCCCCTGACCGGAATCGAACCTGGGACCTTTCAGTCCGCAGACCGACGCTCTACCACTGAGCCAAACCGGTTTCAGCCAGGAATACTTTTCATGTGTTATTTATCCTCACAGCCCCTTGTGGTACTATGGCTAATCTCCATTTTACAGAGGGGGAAACTGGTGTTTGGAGAGGCTAAGTAACTTGCCTATCAGGTAGAGATTGAAATCTAGGTCTTCCTGATTCCACAATCCAGGCTCTTGACCTTAATAAGGCCCATTTAGGGCAGGGCTTTTTCACAAGCTCAGGAAGGGCAGGGCATGGAGGAGGAAGGAGCCTTTATATGGCAACTCCCTATGAAATAGGTATGTGCGTGCATACACATACACACACACACACACACACACACAGATATCTAAGAGGTCCACTTGTTTTCCTGTCCTTCTGAATTAAAACCCATCCAGCTTGCACAGATACAGGTCCACACTCCTTAGAGGGACAGAGGTCAGTCCCTATGGCGAACATACCCATCATTTAACCTGTATCTGAAGCTGCAACAGAGTTTCTGTTTGACAAGATGCAGCCACTGCAAGGTGGTGAATTAACATCAAGCTTTGAAGCTTTGTCTCAATGAATACTTTAAGACTGAAAATAACTAGTGAGTGAGACAGAATGCCGTGTAGCAGAATGGCTCATGGCATTCAGAATGGCTTGTGAGATTCAAGCACATGGAGAAAGAAGGGATGACTGTAGAAAACAGTGAGGCACAAACAAATGGTGACAGCTCACAAGAGCTGGCTGCCCTACTCTTCATCTGGCCGCCTGACTTCCGTGGCAATGTCTGCTGTCAGCTGTGCAGAGGCCTTCTGACAGGGATGTGAGCACATTCAGGTACTCAGCGCTGGGCAGGCTGGAAGGAGTCACAGCTTAAGAATCTTAAGAATACCTTTTGCCGCTGAAACTGGTGTGGCTCAGTGGATAGAGCGTCGGTCTGCGGACTGAAGGGTCCCAGGTTCGATTCCGGTCAGGGGCATGTACATTAGTTGCGGGCACATCCCCGGTAGGGGGCGTGCAGGAGTCAGCTGGTCGATGTTTCTCTCTCGTTGGTGTTTCTAGCTCTCTATCTCTCTCCCTTCCTCTCTGTGAAAAATCAATAAAATATTAAAAAAAAAAAGAATACCTTTTGCCCCTTTTACCTAAGTACTCACTTTTCTAGACTGTCTCCCTCCTCCCCACCTTCTCCTCCTCTCCCCATCACCCCAAAGGGCATCTCAGGGTGGGCCTGGAGAGCTTGTCAGTTCCTGGGATTTTGAGAAAGTAAAGTGTCAGTGTCACTGCCCTCCCCCACCCCCATTCACTTTTAAATTTTTTTATTTTTATTTTTCACAGAGAGGAAAAGAGAGGGATAGAGAGTTAGAAACATCGACGAGAGAGAATCATCCACCAGCTGCCTCTTGCATACCCCCCACTGGGTATGTGCCCGCAACCAAGGTACATGCCCTTGACCGGAATCGAACCTCAGTCCGCAGGCCGAGGCTCTATCCACTGAGCCAAACCAGTTTCGGCCCCCTCATTCACTTTTGAAGATATACTTAGATACACACAAAACAACCACTGCAACTTTTACATGATGTGAGAAGACCCACAAATCACTTGTGAAATGAAACCTTAATGTTTCACAGTCACAGAAACATACAGGCGGGCAAAGGGCTCATGTGTATTCACTATACCTACACAAGCAGGTAGCCCTGGCGTGCGCACAGGAATCCTCACACAGGGGCATCTCGGTGATGCCACCTTTCCTTGCTGCAGCCTCTTCCCACCGACCTGAAGGTGCTGGCCACAGCCGTCCTGTGAGAGGCTGAGGGGTGTGACCCAGTGGAAAAGGACTCCGTCCTTGGCTACTCCCTGGCTGTGAGACGTGGGCAAGCTATGGCGGTCACCTGGCCAGGGGCTGTGAGGATGAAGGGGAATGATACACGTAGGGTCCTCGGCACAGCGCCTGGCGCTGTCCTGCCTGGTTCCAGAGCCTGCCTTTCCTACACCCACTCCTGGGCTCATGGTGCCCTCTTGTCACTTGGTCCCCCCATCCTTAGGACACTGGTCTGACATTGGGAAGAGTGGGGACTAGTCCGGGGGCCTCGGGTCTATACCAGGTGGGTCCCAGCACTCAGGTCGCAGGTCTGCTGGCGAGAGCTGGCCTTCAGGGTCACACGGGGGGAGGGGGGAGCGCAAAAAGGGCACGTGGCTCGGATGTTCTTGTCTCCGGTGCCTGGATGCCAGGGCGGCGGGCAGAGCCAGCCAGAGGAGATGGGCAGAGCCCAGCAGTAAGTCCACCCAAGGCTGTGGGTGGTTTCCTCCTGTTGCTCAGTATCAGGGAGAGGCGGGGGAGGACATTCATTTTTTCCTAAGCATCCACCCACTGCTTCAATAACTATCGATTGTGAAAAGCCGGCGGCGGCGCCTCTTCCAGGCGAGGCCCGGCCCCGGCGCGCCCCCGCGGGACCCCCTGCGCGCGTGCAGGACAGGCGGGGGAGGGGGGGGGGCGCGAATGCTTCTGCACCGGCCGGTCTAGCGAAACCGTCTAGCGAAACGGCAGCTGCTAGCTGTAGTTTGACCCTTGCACGTCCACCCGCGGGGTATTTCTTTCCCGAGTCCCCAGTCATCTTCTCGTCCCGGGTCACCTGCTCCGCAGCGGCCGCGTCGCCCCCGACTCGGGGACGGGGCCAAGAGCTCGGAAAGTTATTTCAGAGGCAGATATGTTGCAATCCTCCCCGTAGCAAACTACAGACAGGTCTTGGATTCCCCAAACCTTCCCCCACCCCATCCAGCTCCGGAGACCCCAGCCCGCAGCGGGAGACCTGCCGCGCCGGGAGCTACACACAGACGCACCCCCTTAGCCTCCGGCGCGCCCGGGTGCAAAAGGGGAGAAGCCCCAGCAAACTCGCAGCGCGGAGCAGCGGCCAGTCCCCGCCTGGAAGGGACCCAGCGGCTGGGGATTGGCCTCCCGCCTGGCAGCTCCGAGAAACACTCGCGATTTCCTGCCCCGGCCTCTCCCCTCCCGGCCCCTGCCCCGCGGCAGGGCTGCGGCGACCCCTCAGTCAGTACCTGCGGCGGCGGTGGGCTCGCCCTCACTCTGCTCGCCGGAATCCGAGTCCATGCTGCGGGCTGGGCGGCCACAGCCTCCTGCCCGTCTGCGGGGCGCGGGGAGTCGGCGAGCGTCCCGGCCCGGGCTGTCCGGCGCGGGCGGTGCGGTCACCCGGAGACGCAGCCCGGGAGGCGCGGGCTGGGCTGTGCGTGGCGGCCGTGGCCAGGAGGCGGCTCCGCAGAGATGCCCGCCGCCCGCTCCCCGCCGGCCGGTGCCTGCGCGAGGGGAGCGCGGGGCGGAGGGTGGGGCGCGCGGGGCGGAGGGTGGGGCGCGCCGGGAGGGAGCGGGGAGGGGGAGAGGGAGGCGCGAGTGGTTGGGAGCGGGAGCCGCCGGCGCCTCGCAGGGTCCCGCCGGGGGTTAAAAACCCGGGGGCGGTGCCCCGCCTCCTGCCCGCGCCCGGAGCCCCGGAGTCCGGACTCCGGGAGCGCCGTGCAGGGGCGCGGTGGGCGAGGCTGATCCCTTTTTCTTGGGTGTGGCCAAGTTTGGAGGATCCTTAGGTGAAAAGGTGCCAAATAGGAAAATGTGAAGTTCCGAGTGAGAGGGTGTCGGGACGCGCGGGTTCGGTGTGACTCCGCTGCTTACAAGCCCTGGGGCAGAGTGACTCAACTTAGATCTTCTTCCTCACTTGGGAAAGGGGAAAGAGGAGTTAACCTTTTGTCCAGAATGTTTTGGGGGAGTTAATAGGATAATGCAAGGGAGGGTTCGAGGGAAGTAAGACAACGCCCGGCAGGTAAAGCTGACCCCAGGCGTGGGCGGGCCCGGTGGCCAGCCGGAGGGGCGCTGGTTCCTATCAAGGCATGACCCACCCTGCCAGGCTCGATGGGCCAGAACGGATTTTAAAACATTTTCTTCGTCTTTATCACAGAGTGTGCTGAACTTCCTCAACACTCTCTTTCCAGTTTCTTAAAAAAACAACAACCAAAAACATTTGTAAATTTATTCAGTAATTAAAAGACTAAACTAAGCGGAAAAATACACGGAGCCGTAGGGCCTCAGGAGGTTGTTGTTAATTCTTGACTATCCACACAATCTCTTTGTCTCCCTGAATGACCAGCTCCAGCACCTGTGTAACCTCAGGCCAGCTTCTCTTCATACGAAGTGTATTTGACTGCGCAAAATGAAATCAGGAAGAGCAGTCTACTAAAAAGCACCATTTATTGAGTGCTTCCTAAGCGCACTCCTACAAGGATCCACTGAAAAGTTTAGGTGAAGCCGTTTGAAAACGCTTTGTTGGAAGTCAAAAATTGTTTCAAGTTGACAAGTTTATAGAATTCGATCTATACTGCATCTCCATTGTATAGATGTGGGAACGAGGCCTCCTGTTCCATTAGACAGCTTTCCTGTGGTCTCAGGTCCAGTAAGTGGGTGAGCAGGGACTTGAAGTCGGCTATGCCACACCCAGGACAGCTCCTTAGGGTTCAGTGTCACAAGTGGGTTTGGCCTCTCTGTAACCTAGGGGCTGCTTCCTTTAGTCAGATATGGGCTTCCCAGACTGTAAATACAGCCCTCCCTTGTGTTCTCAGAAAATGTTTTCTGGGTGAGCAATCACACGGATTTGGATAAAAGTTACATGGATTTTGATGGAGATGCGGGAAGAGCCTAAATGTGGGGTCTTTGACAAATGGCACAACCTTTCTCAGATTCCTCCTGTGTTGGCATCTCCTTCAGAGGGTGGTTGTAAGGCAGTAACTGAAATAATGACTGTGGAAGAAGCTATTACCCAACGCCTGGCACACAGTTGATGTCTGGTAAATAGAAAGAACATTCATTCTTAGATCTAATCGATCCCGTTTAGAAAACCAAATATTTGAAATCACATTCTTAAGGAACAAGAACAAAATCATAGCAGCATTTGGATAAAAGTTGATACTCAAAAACCAAATAGCTGGGATGGTTTCAAAAGTTTGCCATCAGAGCTTTGCAGTCTTAAGGCAAAACAACGATAGCATCAGAGAACAGAGCATGTTGGATGAGAAAGGTATCCAGCTTCCTCTAAATACCACCAAAACACCTCTGCATCCCAGCAATAAAGGAAACAGGGAAGCTCACTGCTGAGCTTGATCAATAATAAGCAAAGCACCAGGAGCCCATGCTTATGACACGCATGCCCATAAGTCATCAGATCCCCACTAAGTAGCTAGTACTTTTCAGCCCAGAGATAAAGTGGAGGTTGGGGGGCTGCTGGTCAAGGTGATTCTGAAAAGTTTATGAGGTGAGTCTTCAATAAGTAGCAATTATCCATTTACCTGTTCCTATAGTCAGGCATAGTGCATTTCTGCAAAGCAGGCAGACGTAGAGTGAAAAATTGAATGTGGAATTAAACAATGGAAAGGAGAGATCCAAACTAAATAAGGCCCCCATTCCAATTTCCGATGATATGCAATCTGTTGTCATGGGATAGCAAGACAAAAGGAAACGACTGTTGGCATGCATGTGTGTTTAATGAGGAACATTAGTGGAACATACCTTATCTGTCCTCTCCCAGCATGGAAAAATCTGTATAAGAGAAGGAAGTGCTTAAAATAGTATCCCGCGACCATCACCTCCATGAACACAGTGAAATCTGGGGTGGTGAATCTCCTTTACAAACCAGCCCTAATGTATTTCTTTACCAGAGGAAAGAGAGGAAAAGCTCTTAGAAAAAGAGGAAAGGGTTTCCGTAGTTCCTCTGTATATTTTTAGAAGAATGGCATCACTTTGCAGACTTGAATCTAGAATCTGAGGGTTATAAACCACTTTCCTCAGTGTTTCCACTACATCTTTGCAGCCTGGCTGCTCTTCAGACACGAGTTTCTAGCTCTTATTGGTCATGTCTTAGCTTCAGCCAAACGAAAACTGTTGGCTTTTTAAGGAACTTGCCTCTCTGGTGGGAAAAGCATATCTATTTGTAAGGTGTCAAGAAACAGATAATAAAATAGATCAAGTTTTGCGAGCACAATCATACTTCTTTAATCTGAGCCAGGGCTATGACTCATCTGCCCGTCTCCTCTTGTGGGATGGAAAGGGAGCTGTCTGCAGACCTTCGGCAGGCGGCTGGGAGGAGCGAGGGAGGTTCCTCTCACCAGCTAGGGCTGCTGCTCTGCTTTAAAAACCCACATGGCTCCGGAACTGCGTGTCTCTGTGCTGAAGTGGCCCTTGGCACTTTGGGATGAGAGGCTGGCCAAGACAACTCCATTTTTAATAACTTGTGTTTCAAGGTGGATGCTGGCACCAAGGAAGCTTCTGCCCAGAGCCAAGGCCGCCTCCGTGGAGCTCTAGGCAAGCTGGGCAGTGAGGTGTGAGCTGGCTTCTTACTGTCTGACGGAACAAGGTGCCAGAAGGCAGCCTTTAAAGTGTGGGCTTTTCCTATTTCTTTCTGGCTAGCAAAAATAAATTTTATTGCCCCTGCCCCGATTTCACACACTGTAGAAAAACTAGAAAACACATAAAAACAATGAAAAATAAAAATTTAAAATCCATTCATAATTCCACCGGCTACAATAACATACATATTTTTTTTTAAAACAAAACAAAACAAAAAATCTCTCTTTTTGTGGTGTATAGCATTCTATTTTTGTAACTTGCTTTTTCCTTTTAACAATATGTTGTGAACATTATTCCATCCACTCTCTGACAACATGATTTTTAATATCTTCACAGTATTCTATTGTACACATGTATGGGTATACCATAATGTATTTAAACACTCCTCTTTTGTTGGGCATATAGGCTGTTTCTAATTTTCTGTTAATAGAAGACAGCATCAGTGAACATCATCATGTCTAAATCTGTGCACACATCTGCAATCACTGTCTATGAACCTTCACCAACTACATTTGGTCTTCGGAGAGAGAAACAAGACAGAAAATTGCACTAAGGTAGCTAACAAAGAAATCATTGTAAATATCCCGAGACTTTAAGGTTATAAAGAATTTTTATGGACATGATCTCCTCTCAGCAGAGAGTGGGTTGTTTTAGTTTATTCTTGCATTTATCGAGCACTGATTGAGCCTACAGGGGGTTCCTCTAAGATGAGTGGAAAATTTCCTTCCACATTTTTATTGTGGGCACTGTATATGCGGCACAGCCCATCCAAGTCCAGACACCTTGTGGGAGGCTGGCAAATTGGGCATCAAGCTGTTCTCACAGGTTCTTCGCTTCTGCCCTCCTTAACTGCCTCCTTAGCTGCCTGAGAAGCTAATGCAGTTATAGTGACTCTACAGCACTGATTCAGAGGGAGAGGGAAATTGAGATGGAGGAAGGGAAAGAGGGAGAGAGAAGAACACTCTATGGCTCCAGTCTCTGTTGTGCTCTGGCTCAGCTTCCTTTGGGGTTGTTTGGAAGCCTCTTAAACAGCAGTACCAGGATTACAGGTTCAGCCCTGCTGGGAGACTCCCTGCTTGCTTATAGTGCCTGGTCGCACTGTGGCATTCACTCTGAGGCTGAGACTGCTATAATGGAGCTGGTTTTACAAGGACCCACATGGCTCCTATGTGGGCACCCTAAGGGACTGTTTTAGCTATGCCCATCTTCCCAGATCCGTACACAACTCTGTTACATGGCAAGGGTCAACATTATTCCTATTGGGGAGAAGAGGGAGTCAAGGTCGATGAGGCTTAAGCAACCGCTACATCCCCTAAAGTTTTTAGGAAGATAAGAGAGTATCCAGAGGAGAAACCAAGATGGCGGCATAGGTAAACACCTGAATTTGCTGCCTTGCACAACCACTTCAAAACTACAACTAAAAGACAAAACGGGTATCATCCAGAACCATGGGGAGGCTGGCTTAGTGGAAATTATACAACTAGAAGGAAAGAGAAAGGCACACTGAGACTTGGAGGAGGTGCGGAGATGCAGAAGTGAAGTGCAGAGGTACGGAGATGCTCATGGAAAGGGCTGGCAAACTGAGTACACTGTTGTCTTTTTCAGTTGGGAGGGAGATACAAGCTCACAACTGCTTTGAACTCTAGTTCTGGGCGAGACTCTGGGGACCCAGACTCATACGGAGAGAAACTGGACTGTCTGGCATTGGGTGGCACTTGAGGGTGGTTTTCTCTCAGAGATGCTTGCAGCGATCATTGTTCCTGCACAGTACCATGGGACACAGAGACACGGGACCTCTTCCAGGAAGGGCTGACAGTCAGCCATTGCTGTT